AATTTTTTTAAACTAATAATTTAAAAAGTTAAAAATATAAAAGTTAACTTATAAATTTTATGTATACCACAAGATAAAATATTAAATTATTTCAAGATAATTATAATATATATATTTTTTAATTTATAAAGTCTCGTGCATAGCACGGGTTACCACTAATATAAATTCTTATTAAAAAATAACAGGTTGCAATTGCGAAAAAAATACAGGGCAAAATTCACTTTACCCCCCTATGGTTTAGCCCACATGCGGATTACGCCCTGAACTTTCAAATATCACCAGATAACCCCCTGTGGTTGATGGAGTAATATGCACCGTTAACACCGTGAATGGCAGACGTAAAAAGACCAATTTGCCCTTGTATATATATATATATATATCGAAGCTTGCTTACCAGTTTCACTTCCAAAAGTCGTGCATCTGAGAAGAGGAAAGTGAAGAGAACTAGGGTTGTTCAATTGAACAAATTAGGGTTGTTCGATTGAACAAATTAGGGTTTCAATCGAACGAAATAGTGTATAGATTTGAGAAAGTAGGGCTTCGATTGTTCGATTGACACTGATTTGGAGATTTACGAAGCAAATGAAGCCCAAAAGTTCAAGAAGAATAAGTTGTAAGGTATTTTTTCGATCATTGCCTTTTATTTTGTGTTTCATTCAATTCGACTTGCTGATATATATATATATATATATATATGTATGTAAAATGTTAGTTGATGTACTTTTTGTTGCTGTATACTGTGGTTCCGTATGTTTTGTATATTAAGGTTTGTGTGCCTCCATTTTTCGTACCATTAGTGGTTAACTTTTTGTCATGGCACTGTGTGCGATGTAGTTGTTCATATCCTGTTGCTATGATGGTTTTTTGTATATATAAAGTTGTTCATATACTGTGGTCCACTATGGTTGTTTGTTTATTTGTAGTGAATGATGTGAGTGTATTATTTTGTTTGTTTATTGTCATTGTGTTTTGTGTGGGGTATGCACTAAAAAGGTACAGTCTATCCCTAATTCTCAGTGTATTACTTTGTTTGTTTCGTTCTTCAATTAACTTTTAATTTTATGCCTGAAGAATAGTTTTTTTAATCCTATTACTTTAAACTTTTATATTCTGTTTCTGTTTTGTGTAATCTGTTTGAGGATTAGGGATTATTTATTATTTTAATTTATGTTGGTTACATGCATGACTATATCTTTGTTTATGGTTTAGGGTTGTGGGTTGTGGTCCCAAAATGTATTGATGAAAGTCTTTTCTACTTTAGGAGTGAATGCTGAAAATGTCAAACAAATTCATAACTGTTCAAATGCACCATGGGGGCCATTTTGTCTTTCATCCACATGTTGTTTATGAGGGTGGTAGGGTGAATGAAATAATTAACTGTGACCTTGACAAAATGTCTATCTTTGAGTTAAGAGACCTTTATTTATGACCTGGTTGGTGGAAAATGAGCAAACATAGATATGTACTATACATGGCCTGATTATAGTTTAAATGTTGGGTTGAAAGCAATTTACAGTGATGCTGATGTGATGAAAATGCTTGAGGCTTATAAGGGTTTGGATTATATAGTTGTTTATGTAGAGAAGGATGTAGATCCTATTATGGTTTTGACATCCAATGATGAGTTGTTGTCTGATCCCAATAGTGCAGAACAGGGTGGTAATGCCATATGTGGTACTGACATAGGCATTATTGATATAAACTTGTCTGATATTGACATCATAGTTGATGACATTGGGAATGACTCAGATGATAGTGCAAAGGTAGCTGAGGGTGAGGATGTGGGTAAGGGATGTGAGGGTAGTGATACACAACATAAGGGTAATGATACACAACATGAGGAGGGGTTGGTTGAAACATCTGTAGAGTTATACCCTACTGCAGATCACAGATACTGGTTGAGACATATGTATAGTAACTTCAAGACAAAATACAGTGGTTATGTATTGAAAGACCTGTTTTGGAAAGCTGCATCAACTGGAAATGTGCATGAATTCAATTATTGGATGAAGAAGATTGAAGAAGATGATCCTAAGATTGGAAATAGGAAGACAGTTGTTGAGTGGTTGAGGGAGACTGATCCTGCTTTGTGGGCAAGGTCATATTTTTCTCGAATGAGCAAGTGTGACATCCTTGTGAACAATTTGAGTGAGTCATTCAATTCTTACATTCTAGAAGCCAGAGAGCTACCAATAATCTCCATGTTTGAATGGATTAGAAGGAAATTGATGCAAAGGATTCAAGTTAAAAAGGATGGAATGGCAAAATACAGTGGTGAAATTTATCCCAATATTCATGACAAACTTGAGAAGTTGAAGGTGGAATCAAGGAACTGCTTTGCAACTTGGTGTGAACAATTGGAATTTGAGGTTGATCATTTTCAGAGGAGGTACATAGTGGACCTAAGTACTAGGACATGCAGTTACAAGAGATGGGATTTGTCTGGTTTGCCTTGTAATCATGCCATCAGTGCAATTCAAATCAATCATGAGCAGCCAGAAGCCTATGTGCATGAGATGAGTATTACAGCAAGTCTAGGTACTTGGATACTTATGCATTCATGATACACCCAGTTCCAAACATGCATGAGTATAAGGGGGGTGGCCAGAAATTGAATCCACTAGAAGCAAAGAAATTAGTAGGCAGATCAAAGAAGTTAAGAAACAGACAAGCAAATGAGCCAAGAAATCCACACAAGGCATCAAGAAAGAACATCAATGTCACATGTGCTAAGTGTCTGCAGAAGGGGCACAATCAGAGGTCATGCAAGAACAAACTGCATCCTAAGTCTAAAATGGTGAAGGTTATTGTATACTTATGCATTCATTTATTGTATACATGTTGTTATTTGTTTGTTCTATACTTAATTTATTATATACTTAATTTGTTTGTTGTAGCAGCGATGTACTAGTGGCAATCATCTCAGCCTGCATCAACTCCTACTCCTACTCTTACTCTAACAAGAAACATCCCATCGAATGAGGTAACCAACTTTTAATGTTGACTTGTAACTTCAAGTAGGAAACTAACAATAGTTTGCCTAATTTGTTCCTAATTGGAAAATTTTTTGCCTCAGATGTCCAGTAACATTCAAACTAGAAGAGGAGGCCAAGCAGTATCTCAGCCACCAAAGTACTGCTTCTATTGGACTGAAAATGAGGAGTACTAGGTCATCTACTCAGGTAACTCGCTTGTTTATATAACCAACTTTTTAATTTTGTATCTTTTCAGTTTGTTAATTAAAAATGTTGTTGCAGCCCACAAAACTACCAACCCATGGTGGAAAGGCATCAAGTGGTTCTAGTAAAGGACCTGAAATCATAGTTGGTGGGAGGGGTAGAAGTAGAGGACCAATTAATACATCTGTATCTGTAGTCAATGTTGGAAGAACTGGAGTGAATGCTAATGTTAGAGGGCATGTTGTTTCAGTAACTTTTGTACTAGAGACAATCAAAGCAAGGAGACTGGACAAAGAACTGGCAACTGGGTCAAAGTAGACTATAGGATTACCTGTTATTATTTATGATTTTATAATAAAACAATACTATGGGATGTGTTGTGTTTGTATTTAAGCTAAGAAAGGATAGACACACACTTATAGTTATGGTTTTTGTATATAGAGTTATGTTTTGTATTTAGAGTTATGGTTTTGGTATTTAAGCTATGTTTTGTATTTAGAGTTATGGTAATGCAGCATACTTCTGTAAATAAATTGGTATTGAATAGTATTGTCAGCATACTTCTGTAAACGGATTGGTATTGAATAGCATTCAGCTTGCTTGGTTCTATTTTTCCAAAAACACTTTTCAGAAAATTCTACTTTCTTATTTTCTGTGTTTTTCTTTGTTTTTACTGAATTTTTTTAATATTTTAAGCAATTTTTTTACTTTTTAGACACATCTAACATAAATACACCTAAAAAATAAACAAATTGTAAAAAAAAATCTGTTAAAAATTAACTAAATACCAAAAATACAAAAAAAAATACAAGAATTCAGTACATTTTTTTGTATTTTTATGTATTTATTAATTTTTAAAAATATTTTTTCGTAAATTTTTTACTTTTTGGATACATCTAAGTAAGGTGCATATAAAAAAGTAAAAAAAAATGTTTAAAATTTTAAAAATATTCACTAAGAACAAAAAAAAAATACGAAAACCAAAAAACTCAATTTTCAAAAAACTTAATCTAGAAAACTCAAACCAAACACACTGATTGTGAATCTCAGTTTTTTTTTTTTTTTTTGTCATTTTTGTTCCATTGCCTCAAGTGCATTGTTTTGGAATGAGGTCTGTTATTTTGCAAATCAACTTAGTATGGTTACCATTGCTTCAAGTATACAGTCAGTTTGTTTGTATTGGAAATATTGGTTGTATATTTTGTATTGGAATGTAGTAAAAGAAATTAAGAATTTATTTATTTTTTTTTCAATTAAACTCTTGAAAGTCCCCGTTTATGGAATTTGTGTCATTGCTTTCTATTTTTCTATTTTTTTTATTATAGAAAAAAAATTGGAGGGTGGTGTTTTTAAACCAAACTTCCAACCACCAGATTAGACATGTGTTACGCACGCCCATGTAAATATTGTTAGTATTTTTTGTGATTTATTTTTGTGTACTTATTGATTGATTTATTGATTATTATTTTTCGAAAGTGGGAAAGTACTATGGAAGGTGTACCAACAATTACTACCTAATTGCTTTAACTGAAGTTAGAGATGTCTCAAATTACCAATTTTGCAGTCAATGAAGGTAAATAAGAATAATTTAAGAAAAAAAAATTAAAAAAGTTGATAAAGAAGCCACAACAGCCTTTGCATACACTCAATCGTTCCTATTTTCAGATTTTTTCTTGATCCTGTGTCAGACCATTTTCAAACCACACAATGACTCAACAAAACAGTTCTGGCAAACGGCTGCTAAATGCATACAAGAACACCACCCATGACCTATTTCAGAAAATAAATGATAACCACCTGTTGCGCAGATTGCAAAAGACATTTCAGATAAGGAAAATACATTTTATTGCTCTGAAAAAACCTACACTCAATATAACACACCCATCAAATGAATGTTTGAATACCAATTAAAAGTGGTACCAAAATATGGAGGAAGCAATTTCCTGAAATTCTCAGATATTAATAAATTATAAGAAGCACATAATGAACTGCGTTCAATGCAGTGGCCACCCTAGCACTTGAGGAGACCAAAACAAGGGTTTGACCAGACAACAATCTCTATTTCTAGGCTGCTTCTACATTGTGTTCACCATGGCTAAACACTCCTTCAAGAAATTCTGGAGCTGTGATGAGTATATGTTAGGGAATTTCCTGTAATGGTCTACATGAGGAGACGAGCGAAGTTAAAAGAGAACACTTTTCTTCCCGAATCCTCCTCTGTTCTCAATAAACTGCTCTACTGACTGCGCTGGAATGACTTTATCAGCTGTACTATACAGGTAAAGCTGAGGACAGGGAGGCTGGTTCTTCACTAGCGTAGAGATAACCTTTTTCAACCTCCTGTTGAGGAAGAGAGAAATTTTGGTTATGATTGCTTGTTCACTTCTTGTGATCAATTTCTGAAATAGATGACTAATCAAAACATAAATATAGTTGGGTCATAAACAGAAATACTCACTCATTTACATCAGGCAAGTTAAGAAGGAAAGAGAAGAGCTTCTCAAATACTACCAGAAGCACCGTTTCAATTAGCAAAGGCTCCTTCTGTTGTGTCTTGGAGAGACTCGCTTCACTTTTTGTGCCTTCTCCAGCCTTGGTAGATGGATATGTTGATGAGCTGTGCTTTTTTAGCAGGGCAGCAGTAAATCCAGCGGCCCAGACCTACAATTACAAAGGTTGTGTTCTTAAGAAACGAGTAAAAATGAAAAGCCAACAACATCCAGCATGTTTTATTATCAACAAAGGGAGCAATAAACTGAAACTCTAAAATCAGAGTGTATAAAAATGTAAAATCAATTCATGCTTCAAAACCGGTTACCATAAAGTTTAACAATGTTTAAATTCAATGCAAATGTACAAAGATCTTTGTGGATTATTGACAAAATGAAATTCCTACCCTCTAGGTAAATACTATCAACAAGGCATGATTGTGAAGTACGTAACATCAGAACAGAAAATGAAACAAGCAGAAGAACAAAATGGTAAAGTGTGCTCTCTGCAAGCAAATACAAAAGGTCAAACAAGGAACAAAACGATTATGCACATTTAGAATCACAAACACTTGTGTTCGATATTTTTTTTTTTACTTTAATTTAATGATTTTTGGTTTATATTGACATTAGTACCAAAATTATACAATACTTGTGCCCCTTGTGTGAATGAATTAGTAAACTTCATACATGTTTAATTATTTCATTATTAGGGTACATATTAATTTATATAGATTTTAGTTTTGTTTGCAAACACTTCTGTGCGTTTCCAAAACATTTTATAATTATTTCATTATTAGGGTACATATGAATTTCTATAGATTTTAGTTTTGTTTTCAAACACTTCAGTGCTTCCAAAACATTTTACCATTTCCTTCATGTCTCCAAATCATTTTTGAAATATTTTCATTTCCAAGCTAATTGAAACAACATATTAAAATGAAATGTTGATCCTTGGGAAGAGCTAACTAAGATGGGTTGAGTGCCTAGATGTAATATTTTACCATACAAGCATGTATGTGTATTGTGAATACTTAACTTGGCAATAAAAATGTGGCTAAATGTTTTATTAGGGTATAGTTAATAATGGTGATGTACTCCTAGGTATTTTACAGGTCATAAAAAACCAAATATTCTACATTGGCACAAAGATTGGCACAAAGATATAGCTCCATTTACTGTAGTATCTGATCAAGACAGGTAGACCAGGACCTATTAAATCAAGCACGTAACTCCAATGAAAGCATAAAAATGGCCATGAAAGTATTAACTCATAAATTATTTAGTTTTTATTTTGTAGTGGGTATGGAGGGAGAGCAAAAAGCTGTGTAAACTTCATGCACAAATATAAGAAATACAGGCCTAACTTTAAAAGATGCTACAGAAGTTACAAAATGACTATTAGTTTTCTTAAATGGATTTTTTTTCTTCAGGACTATCAGTTTTTTTGTTTTCCTAACTCATAGTTTCTCTTAGCAAAATATTCTACTACGTCAGCCATCACCATCCATAGAGCCAAACATTCCAATCAGGGGTTTAAAAAAAATTAACAATTCTGCTTGGGAATGATATTGAACTCAAAGCTCAACAAGAATTGAATGATCCATATATTCAAACCAAAAAAGAAGAAAGGATTCCTAGGAAACAAAGGTATAACCCAGTTTGTTCTTGGAAAGATAGGACGAATGAGAGGGAAGGAAAAATGCAAGAAGATAGTAACAAAGGAACCAACTGAAGCCAACAATCAAAAACTACTACAGAGCCATTGATCCAGAGATAATCAATCAAAAACCTCAATGAATTAAACGTAGGAAACTAATTGCTGCAAGGTAAACAAACAGAAATTCATTTTTTCCTACAATAATTAAAGCTAAGGACTTTGTCCCAAATTTGTGAATACATAGAAATTTAATAATATATCACAATTTTTTATACTTTCAAAATCAAATAAATAATAAACAAAATTTGAATTATGTAATAATAAAAAATGGTTTTGGCACCTTAGGATTTATATCTGGGTCCCCACCCGAATCAACAACACATCCCTTGATCTTCATCAGCAAGTCCTGTCTACCTTGCAAATTATCAAGAATGGCTCCATAGCTGCAAAACAACAAAAATACATTGTGACTTAAAAAACAATATAGTACCTTAAAGGTCAAATTGAAAATGCTACCATTTGTGTTGGAACATTGTGGCTCCAAACTGAATAAGATCTTGAAGTATACAAAACAATCAAGTATGATTGATCTTCAAAGATATCTACATTAATTCTTACATGCCATAACAAATTCTTGTCCTTGCCTTTTACCCCATAAACTAAAAATAAAAAATTGAAAAAGAGAAATGGAATTTACAGAAAAACAGGATCATATCAAACACATGTGCATAAAAGTACTAAAACTAATAGTTGGAGTAAATTTCAATCAATCTCTAATAATTGAAGTAAATTTCAATCAATCGAATAGAGCTATATATATAAAAGATCATACAACGAGTTGATCAACCTACGCAAGCCAACCGGTATTGCTGAAGGTATGGAAGATCAAAACCCTTTCGCGCCCGTCCTTCTCTGTCTCGGCCAACCACGAACCGAGCTCTCGTGCCAAACCAGAGATCCTCTCCTGCAATCTCCTCCCCAAATCAAACGAAAGCACATCATTCGCCGAAGCAACAAACGTCACGGCATTAATACCCCTCGAATTGTACAACTCCTTATACCTCCTCAAGTGCTTAGGCTTCGCTCCAAGCCAACCCAACAACACCACAGTCACCACGGGCCCTTTATCCCCCACAATCCCTGTATCTCCGCCATTAACGCCCTCCAAAGCTCGCTCAAAGTACTTGTCCCCCGAATCGGAAACAATTGGAACGAATTGACTGCCGGAGAGTAAAGAATCGGAGGTTTGCGATGCCGGGAGAGACTGGAAGAACCCTAAAGGGCTCGAATTTGGAGGAGAGATCGATGAGTGAAAACGAGTGGAACAAAAGGGGGTTGTTGTGGCGATGAGGCGATTGGAGGGAGATTGTGGAAGCGGAGGGAGTGAGATTTGGCGACATCGAGGAGGGTTTGGGAGGGTGATACAGTACTTGAGAGGGTGTGATTTGAGGAGAACCGAGCTCGGAAAATGGCGATTCAGACCTGACGAATTCAAGATTCTGACAGAAGTTTCCATGGATTTGATAATTGGCAAGCGAGAATTGCCAATCACGCACTGTCACTGCCATTGATTCGATTCGTGGCCATCTTTGGGAAGACCGAAATCGATGATCAGATTGAACTAGGCCAATTGATATTGACAAGTGGAGTGATTGTTTACAGAAGAAGCAAAGTGGTTGGATTTTTCACGGCGGTGGCAGCGGAGGGAGGAGAAGGTGGCGCCGGCGAATACTGTAGATTTTCAGGGAGGCCTTAGGGTTTCGGGGTTGGACAACTTATTTATGAGTAATGTTGGAGATGTACATTTTAGATGACTGTAGTCATTTTTAGATGACTGTAGACAATGTCATATTGTCTCGTTGTGAGTCCCAAACGAACATTTTAATTTCATGATAGTACAATAAATAGAGTTAGTTATCCGTTAGGAGGAAATGAACATGAAACGCTCATAATTTGATACCGTTTATGGTTAGCCGCTCACATTTATGGTTTTATTTTTAAAATCAATGTTTTTAATTAATTTATTTATTTTGAAATGCAATTTTTTTTTTATTTCTTTGTTTACATTAAATAAATGAGTCTATTTTTTTTTTTTTTTTTAAGAGAAAAACAAAAATAAATGTTTGATATATATATATATATATATATAAATGTTATGAAAATAAATGATATATATATGGGGTCAATTATAGGAAGTGAAAGAGGTTGATGAATTTCTCAATAGCTCTCTGAAATGGCTCTTTCTCTCTCTAAAGTTCTGCTCTCTAAGGGTAACAATGGTAACCTCGAAGGTAAATCCTCCGAGGAAGAGGACCACCTAAATCGCAGTACTAAGAAAATCAAAGAGTTTACTACCGGCGATGATGATACCATGTTAGATAACCCCACTCCTGTAGTTCAAGCAGAGCCTCTAGATAGAGAGTTAGTTTTAGAAGTCAACAAATCAATAAAGCCCCCCATTAGATCTTTTAAGGATGCTCTAGTTGATCGACGACTCAACGAGAGACCGTTTGATGAGGGTTTGGATGATCTATTGACAGATGATGAATTCAAAAGTGAGGAAGATGAGATTGAGGGGGAAGATGTTGACTATGAGGTTGAATCCTTTGGTATTCCACGAATCTCACCACCCAAGAAGGTTTTGGCAAAAATCAGGAGGCCATGGAAGAACTGCCTTATAATTAAACTGATGGGCAAGAAGCTTGGGTATTGTCACGACCCAAACCCGCCCCTATGGGTTTAGCACCGTAACCGGCCAATAATCCGAGATTACCGAAGGCCTGTTTAACAGTAAAATAGTAATACAGAGTACAAGGGCTGGCGGAAGCCAAAGCAGTAATGAAAAGGTGTCCAATGAGCTGTGACAGTCTGTATGCAAAAAGACTTTTCATAACATATTCACATTCAGAACAAAAACAGTATATACATACATCATATACAATCATTCAGGTTAAGGACCAAGTCCCTACCATAACAGTACAGTACAGTACAAGTCTATACAGTTTATACAAAACAGAAACAGAAACAGAAAGGGAGAATCTAAAACACCCCCAAGCAGCCTTAGCTTGGCAGCACTTGGAACCTCATAGTGAGGCACGTTGGTTGGCTTGACAAAAAGAGAGTTTAACCCAACGCTCTTAGCTCCGATCCGGTGCTTGGACACCTACATATATATAAACAGTAAGGTAAAGCCTAGTGAATAACATATGTGTAAAGAGGTTAAGAATGAATGTCCTTTCAGTATTGAAAACAGTCATTTATTAGTATATTAGTCATTCAGTTTGTGGCTCATAATTCATGCCGTAACAATCATTCAGAAATTATAATAGTCATATATGGTACATCCAATAACAAAACAGTACAGTAGGTCTTAACAGACCGAACAGTCAGTTGATGGCCATCATATCAGTAAACAATAGCGGTTCCAAACATGGGAACCGGCAGAGATCTCTGTGACAGTAGCAGTACAGTACAATAACAGTAAATTGCTATGAATGCCAGGAATACAGTTCGCAAATAGGACAAGCATTCATTCAGTAAGAAGTATCATTTCAGAAAGCAGTATAGTTGATCGTTCAGAAAATATTCATGATTGAATATATCTTTACAACATTGTTACTCACAGAGTACTGGGCTATAAGTAGCTAGAGCGTCCTCGGAGGCCAACTCTACACAGTTACAGAATGAACACACACTAAGCTACACTGTTGGGAAATAATAACTTAATCCCTAATTTGCCTCGGTGTGGTTCTAGATCAATATCCTCATTAAGATGCCTTAAACTAGGCCTAGGAATGCCTATGATGAAATGAGGATGCAAAGATGCACTTAAAAGCACTTTTCAAAATTTTGCTGAAACAGGGTCCCGCTCGAGCGTGGGTTTCCTCGCTCGAGCGGACATGCAGACAAAAGAGCCCCGCTCGAGCGTGACTTACGCTGCTCGAGCGGAATGCAAAAGTACTGGATGGGTGAAATTCACGCTCGATGGGCGCTCGACCTCCGCTCGAGCGTGAGACACAAGTCCTCGCTCGAGCGTACATTTCCCCGCTCGAGCGGACTGTAAACACATGCAAAGTACTGGATATGCGCATTTCCCGCTCGAGCGTCACTTTCCCCGCTCGAGCAGACTACATGAACTCAGTGTGTACGCTCGAGCGTGGAGTTTCCCGCTAGAGCATGAGTCCAAAATCTGGAATTTTCAGATTTGAACCTCAAGCTCAAAACTCAACTTCAAAGCATCAAAATCGATCCTTTTGGGCTAATTTTCTGGAAAACACTTGTAAACTCATAATATGACATGTTTCAATGATCAATTTGAGAAATCAACACCTAAAGGTAGTTCAATTAAACACAATTTCAAAGAAGTTTTCATGAACATGAAGAACATATGACATGCATGAATTCTAGTGAATTCTAATACCTCAAAACATGATCCAAAGCAAGATTAAACTCAAAACCATGATGAACTCATGGACTAGAACAAGAATGTAAACTTGCATGCAAGATTTCATGAAAATCAACTTCAAAATGCAAGAATATGTACATGCATGCATGATTCAAGCTTCAATTCAACAATTTAAACCAATTTATGACCTTAGGCTCCTATCTACCATGAACCATGCAAGAACTAACTTGAATTCACAAACAAGAAGGTAAATTCTCTACCTTAAGTCTCCAATTTCAAATGTAGAAGCTCAATATGCAAAGAATCCTTCAAACTCCTAAGCCTCTAAGCCAATTTTGGTTGAAATCAATTCTCTTACTCTCCCTCTCTCTGTAGTTGGTTTGCTCTAGGAATAAGGCTGAAGAAATGGTGCTAAACAATGCTAAAGGTGCGAGAAGTAGTGGCCTAGCATAACCCACTCAATGACAATTAGGTAAATAAAGCCAACTTATGTAATTTAACATTATTAAATCTAATTTAATCATACCAAATCACATTTCAATTAAATATACCATAAAATCACATAAATTCTAACTAGCATAAAACATTACTCGATTTCAGATTCGGCCGTCGATAAGGCCTTCAATTTGCAGTTTAAACATAATACACGAACAGATAATTTAGCAGTCAAACAGATAGACATGCATTTAAACTAGTACACTCAATCAATCGGTTCAGAATTTCAGTCAATCAGTCAGTCAACATGCTTAATCATAGATTAGCACTAATCAGTGGTGAGGGTTGCCACAGGTATAGATTGCTACTATTTAAAATCAAAAAGCTTTGGGATCTTCAAGGTGATTTCGAGGCCATAGATCTAGATTCGGGATTCTTTCTTATTAAGTTCCAATTGAAGGAAGATTATTCTTATGTATACACTAGGGGTCCATGGATTGTCCTAGATCATTACCTAACGGTCAGAAAATGGAAACCAGATTTAAACCAGCGGCGGCGGAAGAAATTCAAACTGCGCTTTGGGTGAGGTTCCCCTAACTCCCCATAGAGTATTACAATGAGAAGGTGCTCTTCCAAATAGCAAAATCCTTGGGTAAACCCTTGAAGATTGACCTTAATACGACAACAACAACGCGAGGAAAATATGCGATAGTCTGCATTGAGATGGATATCAAGAAACCGCTAATCTCTCAGTTTTCAATTAGTAAGTATAATTATAGTATTAAATATGAGCGCTTACATTCATTTTTTTCCGATTGTGGCAAGGTAGGTCATTGGAGAGAATGGTGTAGTGAGAGAGCTCCATTGCCGGTTCCAAGCCCCTATTCTGGTGAACAGAATAATAAGATTATGTCCGTTGGGGATGACAACAAATGTAAAGAGGGCCCAAGCCCAAGCCTTCTAGTTTATAACACTGATTTCAAAGAAACACCAGGAAAGAGTTTTGGTCCTTGGATGCTTGTAGATAGGAAAGGTAAAAAGCAAGTCAACAAAGGCCAAACTAATGGGCCTTATAATGGAACCCACGGGAAAGGAGATTAGAAGCCCAAAGTGGCTACAGTGTCTAAAGTTAATGGGAATAAGCCTTCTACTTCAGCCCAGGTTGGGAAGGAACGTTGCCAGAAGAGTTGTGCTAATCTTTATCACACCAATGTATCAAAGTGGCACACTGAGCAAAGTAACCCATGTGATGGTTTGAAAAGTAGCATCATTAATGCTAGAAGTGGTACTGTGAATACCAGCCCTAACCCTTTTGCCAGTCTTCAGACTCTTGACCACATCAGTGAAGATATTAGCTGTATCTCTCCATATAACGTCTGTAATGGAGAGGTTGAGGAAGAGAAATCAACTAAGGTTTTGAAGTCTACATCTGGTAGTGCTCCTATCAAACCTCACTTTCACCCTCCAGAACCAGGTCACCTCTCTCCCCATTTTCCAGGTTTTTTAAGTATCCCTACCACCCTCCCTGATAATCCAGTGTTGAGTGATCATAGAAGTCCAAGATGTGATCCAGCACTGGGTGAGTTGCAATCAAATATACATCATGATAGACCCAGAGAGCGAAGCTACTCACCTAATCGCAACAAAGTTGTAGTGACCCTCATTCCCCGCCTTAACCCTATGCATGAGCATCTGTATAATCTTGTTTTGCTAAGCTTGCATCAGTGAATTCTGACTTGTTTTACCTAGAATAAGATTCATGTCTTGGTTTGTACTTATGTGAATTTGCCTGTTTGTCTTGTTCCTTTCCTAGTAAGTCTAGCCGAGGTCACCTCAAGTCTAGAACCACCTTGGAACCACTTTGGTTGACCTCTACCTTCGTCCTGACATATTGGCCGAGATGTCATTATCTAGGCCGAGGTGTGTATCACCAAGGCCGAGGTGTGTATCATCTAGGCCGAGATGTTATCCTTGAATCCAAGTGATCTTATTCCTGGAATGGTACGACTTAGACCGAGGTGTG